ATCGATGTATTTACCGTCGTCTTTGAAAAACGCGGTCCTTTGAATTTTTGACTGTGATCTAAAATTTTCAGAATTTCCCTTTAACCCTAAAATATTTCGTTCGCTCTCTTCAACATAAATTTGTCTTAAAGTTTTCGCTCTCTCTCAAAGCATTGAGTATATTCTCCGAGCTCTCTCTCAAGCATTTGTTATATTCTCTCAGCTCTCACTCAATATCCATGTAAGTACAAACCCTAATCTCTTTATTTAATGATATTGCATGGCTTCTTAAATCCATAAATGTTTTTGTTGGTTTTGGTAGCTTTCGTTTCTTAATATATGTTTTGGGAGCTATGGGTTCTTAATTGGGAGCTATATTTGGGTTCTTTTATGTTTTAGTGTTTGCATTCTTGTAATAATAACTCTCTGTTTGGGTTCTTTTATGTTTGTTTGGCCATGGGTTCTTGGAAAAAGAATGGGGATGGGAGATTTAGACTGCGGTTTTTTGTAAACCACAATGACGGTTGATGGATCAAACCGTCGTCAAAATTTTTATTATGCGTCGGCTGTTCATTTACTCCCGTCATCTGAATTTTAGTTTGCATTTGGTAACCTAAAGACGACTGTTTCTCCATTAACCGTCGTCTTTAGGCTACTAAAACCTAGAACTTTGTTCTTCAAAAAGCAATACAAATTTCTGGGTTTGGGTAGCTTAATGACGACAATAACTAGAGATGTCGTCGTCTGAATTTCTATTACACGACGATTATTTTGTAAAAACCGTCGTCTGATTCTTGTTTTACTTTTTATTTTCAATTTATTCTCTTCTATGTGAATATAGTAGTGTTTCATTGCTACTCTTTTCACTTTATTATATATATGATTTTATAGTGTGTGAGATGGATAAGTCATGGATGCATGCGGATAGAAAATCCAAGGCATATGAGTTAGGGGTGGAAGGATTTTTGAATTTTACTGTAGAAAATCTTGGAAATACAACTCATATTCGTTGTCCATGTATTAAATGTGGGAATATTCGACTGTTTCAGGTTGGAATTATAAGGAAACACTTATACTTTAATGGAATGACCAAAACTATAAGATTTGGACATGGCACGGATAACCTTAGGAATGGACTACTAATGCTAGTAGAAATGTGGAAGAAGATGAACAAAGTAGGTTCAGTTTTGTTTCTGAAGAATTAGGGGATGATAATGATTTAGGCGATTTGGATCTTATCCTTATGAGTTTGCCAATGTAATTGGGGATGGAGATCAACCCTTGTACCCTGGTTGCAGTAAGTATATGAAGTTATCGGCTTTGGTGAAGTTATATAATTTGAAAGCAAAACATGGAATGAGTGATGTTTGTTTTACAGAATTATTGATACTTCAAGGAGATTTGCTTCCAGAAGGAAATACACTACATTCCTCTATGAACAAGGCAAAAAAGACTTTGTCTGCTTTAGGGATGATTTATGAGAAAATCCATGCATGTCCCAATGACTGCATCTTGTATAGGAAGGATTATGAAGATTCAACTAATTGTCCTACTTTTGGTATCTCAAGGTGGAAGGAAGGCAAAGATTCAATCTTGAAAGAGGGTGTGCCAACGAAGGTGGTGTGGTATTTTCCTCCAATTCCAAGGTTTAAAAGAATGTTTCAATCACATAAGACAGCTAAGAGTTTGACTTGGCATGCTGCTAGAAAATCAGTTGACGGTCATATGTCTCATCCAGCAGATTCCCCGTCTTGGAAACTTGTTGATGATAAATGGCCTGAGTTTGGTAAAGAGTCGAGAAACTTGAGATTGGCTTTCTCATCTGATGGATTCAATCCCAATAGTTCTTTAAGTAGCAGATACAATTGTTGGCCAGTTATCTTAGTTTCATATAATCTCCCACCATGGCTATGCATGAAACGGAAGTTCATGATGTTGACCTTATTAATTTCCGGTCCTAAACAGCCCGGAAATGATATAGACGTCTACTTAGAGCCTTTGATTGATGATTTAAAATCTCTGTGGGATGGGATTAGAGGAGTGTATGATGCACACATAGGAGAATACTTTACACTCAGAGGTGTATTACTGTGGACAATTAATGATTTTCCTGCCTATGGGAACTTATCTGGTTGTGTCGTTAAAGGATATAAAGCTTGTCCAATATGTGGCGATGATACACCTAGTCACATGTTGAAAAATGGCCACAAAATATGTTACATTGGGCATAGAAAATGGTTGCCAATCAATCATCTGTATCGAAGGCAGTGTGCAACTTTTAATGGGAAACCTGAAAATGGCACGCCTCCCAAGCCATTAACCGAAAAAGAAGTGCTGCATATGATTGAAGTTATTAATTACATATGGGGTTCGAAAAATGGGGGAAGTGTTGGTGAGAATAATGGTGACATAGTTTGTTGGAAGAAGAAATCAAAATTCTTTGATCTCGAGTATTGGAAATACCTTCCTATGAGGCATGTCCTAGATATTATGCACATTGAGAAGAATGTTTGCGATAGTATCATTAGTACATTGCTAGAGATCCCTGGAAAAAATAAAGATGGGATTGCTGCTCGGTTAGATTTATTGAACATGGAGGTCAAAACTGATTTGTAACTCGAGTATGGAGAAAGACATACTCTTTTGCCTCTACAGCCTTGGAATTTGTCAAGAGCAAAGAAGAGAGCAGTTTGCAATTCTTTCTATGGTATGAAGGTCCCTAAAGGTTATTCTTCAAATATAAAAAATCTTGTATCTTTAAAAGATTCAAGATTTCTTGGCCTTAAATCTCTTGATTGTCATACCTTGATGCAACAATTGCTCCCTGTGGCAATACGCTCTGTTTTGGAGAAGCCTGCAAGGTATGCAATAACTCGATTGTGCTTCTTCTTCAATGCTATATGTGCAAAGACGGTAGATGTTTCCAAGCTAGATAAGTTGGAAGAAGATGTAGTAGTTACTTTGTGTTGGCTTGAGAAGTATTTTCCCCCTTCATTCTTTGATATCATGGTTCATCTAGTAGTGCATCTTGTCAGAGAAGTTCGTCTATGTGGGCTAGTATATTTTAGATGGATGTATCCGTTTGAAAGATATATGAAAGTGCTAAAAGGGTATGTTCAGAACCGGACTCGTCCCGAAGGTTGCATTGCTGAGCGGTATATAGCTGAAGAAGCTGTAGAGTTTTGCACCGAGCATTTATCTAATGTTAGTACAGTTGGAGTGCCATTAAGCCAGAAGATGGGAGTTTCAAAGCCTTTATCAGGTTGCACAGTGAGCTTAGTTGATCGGGACTTGTTGAACCAGGCACATCTATATGTCTTGGAGAATACGGAGGAAGTCCTACCTTATATTGAGTAAGTATGAGTTTTATTATTTAAGTAGCCATTTTAAATATTATTATTCCTTATGCTTATCTTATATACAAGGGACCGTAATGCTTGATTTTTTCTTGTCAATATAGGAAACATATGATCCACATCAAGACTACTTATCCAAAATTTAGAAAGAGAACAAAGTGGCTGCAAGATAAGCACAATAGCACTTTCATTCAATGGCTACACTTTAAGGTATATATGTTATTGAATGACATAGTGAACTTTTAATTTTCTTTCTTTCTATGTTAGATAGAATTAAGAGATATGATTAATTTGCATGTTCAAAGTGAACTTAATGGGGAAGAGAATAATGGCGTATCAAGTGGTTAGCAGCTGGTCCAAGCATGGCAGTGCCATCATATAGGAGCTATCTTATTAATGGTGTTAAATTTAACACCAAGGCACAAGATGATATGCGAACTGTCCAAAATAGTGGAGTTTATTTACTTGCACATATTATGCAAGTTGCTAGTGCCAAGGATAAAAACCATATTGTCTCTAATATGGGTTTTTATGGTGTTATTCAAGAAATTTGGGACCTTGACTACCAAACGTTTAGAATCCCAATCTTGAGGTGTGATTGGATAGATAATACTTCGGGCCTTGTACTCGACGAACTTGGATTTACCCTTGTAGATCTGAGTAAAATTGGACATAGGAATGACCAATTTGTTATGGCTTCTCAAGTCAAACAAGTATTTTATGTTGACGACCCAATGCATCGTGGTTGGTCAGTAGTGTTATCAATGCCTAATAGAGAATATAATGATGTTATTGGTGATGATGTGCTAGGTGATATTACAATTGAGTGTGAGCCATTTACTAGAGGGATACCAAATGTTGACACATTTGATGACCTAGTGGGTGAGTTTGGGAGTGAAAATATTAGAGATGGGTGTGAAGATATATGGATTGATTGATTGTTGTAATGTATGACATTAGTTATGTAGTTAATTGTATGACATTAATTAATAACTATGTATATCATTTTAATTCTGATCACATTTTCATTATGCAGGTTTTGGGCACGACAAATCAAAATTTTAAAATACTGGATTAAAGGTGCGAAATACGACGGTCCAGTTAAAAAATTGGAAAAACAAACGTCTAAAATAAAACCAACGTCATATTTTTACAAACGTTGTGGAAAGAAAATGCAAAAGACCGTAAAGAAATAAAAACCGCCATCTGAAAATGAAAACACGTCGGTTTATTAAAAATTAAATTACAAGCGGCAGGTAGTAATAAACATCAACGACGGCCTACAAAACAACGCACGACGTATATTTCCCTATAACACGACGTTGGAGTACTCCAACCGACGAATTTGTTAAACACTACTTCCACGATTAAAACCTACCGTCGTCTAAAGGACAAAATAAAGGCATCTCTGTTCCATTAACTGCCGTGACAGATTTTCTGCACGTTGGTTCGTCTAAAACATCTGACGTCTCAGAGAATACATATGTCAAGGAGGATTACACAAGCGACTTTTAAAACCCCAACCACGTCAACATATATTAGAAACCGATGTGGTAAGAAATTACAACGTCATACAATTGGATCCTCATGACATAGTGAAGGAATTAACCACGTCCTTTATTTTACAAAAACCGACGTTGAAAATATAATACACGTCTTCATGTACTCAGGCAAGCAATTTAGTGCCTGCAAGGTTTTGGCCAGATCCACATGCCTATTCTTGGTACCCATCTATGTTACTTTTATTTTCCCTGTCTTTGTAGACGATGTTACTTTTATTTTCCCTGTCCTTAACATGAATTTATTGCTGCAAACTGGGATTACTATTTAGTTTAGCTTTGCTTATGAATGCTAAATTTGCTGATTGGTTTAGTTACTTGGTTTTCCAGACTTTGTTGCAATGCACTGATGCCTTGTATTGCTTTATGTTAAGAGGGATGGCATGATTCTTTACATGCGTTTGATGGTTCTGATTGCCATGGTTTATTATTATTTGTTAGGTAGGATCCAAGGTTCGGTAAAAACAAAAACAAAAATCACCATTAATGCGGTAAAAACAAAAACAAAAATCACCAATAATGCGGATAATGCGGGGCAATATTATAAGACGACATTAATGCGGTAAAAACAAAAAAAAAAATCACCAAAAAAAAATCACCAATAATGCGGATAATGGGGGGCAATATTATATTACAAAAACCCTAAACCATAATGCGGATAATGCGGGGCAAAAATCACCAATAATGCGGTAAAAACAAAAACAAAAACCCTAAACCATAATGCGGATAATGCGGGGCAAAAATCACCAATAATGCGGTAAAAACAAAAACAAAAACCCTAAACCATAATGCGGATAATGCGGGGCAAAAATCACCAATAATGCGGTAAAAACAAAAACAAAAACCCTAAACCATAATGCGGATAATGCGGGGCAAAAATCACCAATAATGCGGTAAAAACAAAAACAAAAACCCTAAACCATAATGCGGATAATGCGGGGCAAAAATCACCAATAATGCGGTAAAAACAAAAACAAAAACCCTAAACCATAATGCGGATAATGCGGGGCAAAAATCACCAATAATGCGGTAAAAACAAAAACAAAAACCCTAAACCATAATGCGGATAATGCGGGGCAAAAATCACCAATAATGCGGTAAAAACAAAAACAAAAACCCTAAACCATAATGCGGATAATGCGGGGCAAAAATCACCAATAATGCGGTAAAAACAAAAACAAAAACCCTAAACCATAATGCGGATAATGCGGGGCAAAAATCACCAATAATGCGGTAAAAACAAAAACAAAAACCCTAAACCATAATGCGGATAATGCGGGGCAAAAATCACCAATAATGCGGTAAAAACAAAAACAAAAACCCTAAACCATAATGCGGATAATGCGGGGCAAAAATCACCAACATAAAACGTATATAAAACCCTCCCAATTAAAAAAGATCATCAAAACCATGGCTGGTTGTGGTTCTCCCTGTGGAGCCTGCAAGTTCTTGAGAAGAAAATGTGTGACGGGGTGTATTTTTGCGCCTCATTTCTGCTATGAAGAGGGAGATGTTGATTTTTCTGCCGTCCACAAGGTTTTTGGCGCAAGCAATGTGTCGAGGCTTTTAGTTCACCTTCCGTTGAGCGATCGATGCAAGGCCGCAATGTCGATATCATATGAAGCTCAAGCCAGGATTCAAGATCCCATATATGGATGTGTTTCACATATTTTTGCTCTCCAACAGCAGGTTAATCATTTAGTACCCTTTGTATGTTCAGATTGGGTTTCTGTTCAGATTGTATGTTGAAGTAACTGATGAGTATATGCTTTTGGTTTGAACTTTTCAGGTGGTCAACTTACAAGCACAGTTAGCTTTCCTCAAGGATCAAGCAGCTCAAAGCTTTGTCAATGGCTCAAACCCTAATCAAGCAGCTCAAAGTTGGAATTATGAGAATGGAATTATGAATTCAAATAACTCTGTTAATGGGAGTTATGAAAATTTAGTGAATATCCCAGAAGAGGGCACTTCTCATTCCATGTCTTCTTTTGGCATGCAAACAAATTACAACAGGCAATGGGGTTTTCAGGATGCTGATGAGCTTCAATCAGTGGTTTCCAGCTACATTCACCATCGATGAGTATATTGGGATGAATATAACTTTGTAATATGTATATGGAACTCCTTATTTATCTTTTGAATGAAAGCTTTGTATTCTGGGATGCCTTATGAATGTGAAGTAAGGAAATATTTATGTTTATCATAGAGCTTCTATTTATAGATAAATTATACTTTTATCAGGTAATTTTGATAATTATTTAAAAAAAACATATATATTTGATATAACAACGCGCATTGCTTGTTGTCAAAACATAAACAACAACGAGCACAGACATGTTGTCATAATATTATAAGACAACACGCTCGGCACGTTGTTGTCAATCGCTCCTACAACGTGCGCGTGTTGTGGTTAATGTTGTTCACAACGAGCGCCAAAATAAATGACGACGTTCAACGCGTGTTGTCGAAAGCCCTACACCTTTTAACGACATCGGCTTCAACAATGTGCGCCGCATGTTGTCAATATGTTTTCACAACGCACATTGCGCGTTGTGAAAGGACTTTTTTCTTGTAGTGTTTCTTTTCCTGTCCACGCCTTCAATATAATTTTTAACGTTAGCCTTTAACAAAAGTAGTCGTGGGTAGGATTTTTTACGGCGGTATTCAGTAATATTGTGTCATTTTAAACTATTCAGACGTCCACTTTGTAGAAAAAGCATCGTCTAACTCTGTCCAATGGACTTCTTTGTACAATTTAAACGACGATTCTCGCAAGAGATGGACGTGGAATATTTTTAAAAAGGCGTTGTTCTCCTACATTCCGACGTGGATAATCATATAAGCGACGATTTTTCCACATGTGTGTCATGGTTAAATCATTTTACATTGGTGCCTGTATGATTATTGACATGTAATATGATTTAAACGTCCGTTCTTTTGTATATACGTCATCTTTTACAAGTTAAACGTCGGTTTGTTTATTTATTTAACATAGTATACTTTAACCACGACGGTTTCTAGTTTGTACAAATCTTTATTCCTTCAATTAGGGACATGGATAATTATCTGTACGTCGGTGCCTGTGTAATTATTGACATGTAATATGATTTAAACGTCCGTTCTTTTGTATATACGTCGTCTTTTACAAGTTAAACGTCGGTTTGCTTATTTATTTAAAGTAGTATATTTTAACCACAACGGTTTCAGTTTATACAAATCTTTATTCCTTCAATTAGGGACGTGGATAATTATCTGTACGTCAGTGCCTGTCTGATTATTAACATGTAATATGCTTTAAACGTCCGTTCTTTTGTGTATGCGTCGTCTTTTACAAGTTAAACGTCGGTTTGTTTATTTATTTAATGTAGTATAAGCTAACCACAACAGTTTCTAGGTTATACAAATCTGTATTCCTTCAATTAGGGACGTGGATAATTATCTGTACGTCGGTGCCTGTGTGATTATTGACATGTAATATGCTTTAAACATCCTTTTTTTTTTGTGTATGCGTCGTCTTTTACAAGTTAGATGGCGGTTTGTTTATTTATTTAACGTAGTATAGGTTAACCACAACGGTTTCTAGGTTATACAAGTCGGTATTCCTTCAATTAGGGACGTGGATAATTATCTGTACGTCGGTGCTTGTTCTGATTTTGACATGTAACACTCTTTAGATGTCTGAGTTTTAATAAAACCGTCGTCAAATTTTGTCGAAGGTTTCATTTTACGATATATATAGTAATTAGACGTCGGTTTGTAATATTTTTTGACGTTGAATGGTTTAACGACGTCGGGTATTAGCGGTCGTTGTGTTATATATCAAAAGATGGTGGTCGATTTCACGACGGTTTGAAAATCTTCTAGACGACGGTGGATTCCTGTCATCTATTTCGATTTTTGTAGTAGTGATTGCATAGTTTTAGTGATTGGATTTCACTAAAAACTCACCCAATGACTCCTCCCACCATATTATAATGTTGCCCAGTTTTGGGCTCAATCCGAATCAATTAGTCAAAGAAATTGGACACTTCAAGTTCATAGGAAGTTCGTTCCGTAAATGGAGTGGTTGGAACATTACATAGTTTTAGTGATTTGATTTCACTAGAAACTCACCGAATGACTCCTCCCACCATATTATAATGTTGCCCAAGTTTTGGGCTCGATCCGAAATCAATTGGTCAAAGAAATTGGACGGCTTTGGTTGAGTGATGAAAATGAGAAAACGGGTTCCTTTGATTCAAGAGCACGCATTGAGTATATCTCGCACTCTCAATGAAAGCACCAATTTGTTTGTGCAAATTTCTAACGGGAGAATATTCGCGGGTTGATTCCTCGACATTCTCTCTTCCTTCTCTCTCTTCCTTGATTCCTGTGAAATAGACAGGAGTAAATAGACCACACTCGGGGGGGTGTTGGCCAAAGGCCCTCTAATGCCTAAGTTAGTTCAATTGGATCTTTGAGAAAAGATACGGCAATAGCTAAAATGGATGAAGTTTTCTCTCACATGGAGAGCCGGGTGGCCTTAGCCTTGTGTGGCTACGCTTAGCTGTGTGGGAGAGAGGGGAGAGAGAGTGGCGACGACAAGGAGAGAGAGAGGGTTGTTTCGGGTGAGAAAACGTTACCTCAAATGTCTTGTGTGGCTATGTATTTATAGTCTCTTTGTGTGCTAGGGTTTTGGGAGAATAATCCTTATTCGGTTAGGATTATTCTTTCCCAAAAAGATGATAGGAATTACAACAAGAAATTGGTTCCTTGATTTAGGGAGATATTCCTATCTGAAATCAAAGATAATTTCCCTAATTAAATAGGAATTAATTAGGGTAATTAGTTTGACATAAGGAATATTCCTTTTCCACGTGTCGTTTTCTTATTGGCCTGTGAAATATATATTCCCACAAATGATTTCTAGATTGCTACTCCATGGGAATTGTTAGATGAATAATTAGAGTTTTATGGAATAATGGTGTGGAATCTAAAACCTTAGTGATTTTTCTCAATCATTTAATTCTTATTCTAGTTTATTTGCATTTTCAATTTTTATGCTTTATTTAATTTTCTTTTCAACCAACAAATCAACTAGATTAGAAATTGAATTAATTTGGGTTGGATTAGTTTTCCATCATTTCCACACTTCTGGTGAGAATGACCTCGCACTTACACACAACTATTCTACAGTCAATTCGTGCGCTTGTGAGTATTATAAATTTAAAACAACACCTTCGAGTGGACAACAAGCACCTTTAAGTCACATATTTTGATGTGATTGTATAGTGCTCTCAAAGACAAACAACTCATACAAAAAGCAACTATGATGTCTTAGGTCTGAGAACTAATTTGCATTATCACAACTTAGAATTACTTGTTTGTCGCTTGTGAGTAAAACTTCCATACAAGAATTCTTAGTTAGATCGTGTTTAGTGAACTCCAACTCTATTGAGCACCTACACACTTGTCTCAGTGTCTCTACATGAATGACTTGAGACTAGTCATCCTCCCAATTGAGTAGACATAGTGTGTACTAGTGTTTGCGGATTACTATTGTCCAATTGGTGATCCTATGACAGGAACATTTTAAGATACAATATACATATGATGGGGGAATGTTGCTTAGTTAGGTTTTTTGTTACTTACCAGTTTATTTAGTCCTATTGTAATTGAGATTTATTTCCTATTCTAATTTAGATTTATTTCCTATATATTTAAGGTTAATACTTATTTATAAATACCTCCATATTATAGAAGAATAAAATTTTGAGCATATCTAGCAATACTTTTAAAAAAGTAAAGTTTTATTTTGTTATATTTCATTTAGGGTTTCACATTTTCATTTCTTCAATCCCCCCCTCCCCCAGCCGCCATCTCTCTCTCTCTCTCGCCTCTTGTTGCGTAGATTCAGCTGCACCAAAATGGATTAAGCTGCATCCTCAACTTGTGATACTCGCAAGTGCACGAACCGTTGGTAGTTTAGCGTATGTAAGTGCGAGGTCGATCCCACGAGGATTGGTGATTGAATGATTCAATTCATTTTCCCTACACAAAACAGAAATGAAAAAGAAGGGAAATAAATAAAACAAGGAAGAAAGAAAATAACTAACTCAAGCAGATAAGTTCCCAAGTTCAATTAGATTAACGGATTGATTCTAGCTAAAGTATGATTAAGCCATGGTGTTTGGTCATAACCTTGTGTTCCTAATTCCCTAATTTGATCATTTGTTGTCTAACCTAAAATTAAGCATTAGGAACCCATTAAGCATAGAAGAACAATTTAAACAACCAAGCATGTATCTAATCCCTGTTGTCGAATGTCCATACATACTCTTCCTATTCATAGTTCAATTCGAATTAAAGCATGGTGTATACTCTTAATTCAAACCAAGATAGCTAACATGCAAGCCTAAATGATGATCAATCATTCAAACTAGCATATTAACTCATAAGCATAATGAATAAGAACAAAAACCATAATTGAAACTTGGAAACTAATCAAACTTGAAAAACTAAAGAAAAGAATTTACATAATGAAAAATAAATTACAACTAAGAAGCAAAAGGAAAGCTAGAATTGAGAACTAGAAAGCAAAACTAAGAGAATTTGAGGGAGAGAAGGGAAAGGAGCTCTAGAGAAGTGTTTGAGAGCTCCCCCCCCCTTGGGGTGTGTTTACAAGCTTAGAGAACATCCCTATTTATAGGCCTAGAGGAAGTGAAAATCTGAATTCAATATGGCTAATGCATACAACACTTATTTTATAAAATCTGAAATGGTTGATGCACTTCACTAATAAAGCCCACCAGCAGCCCTAGCTCATCTTCATGTCACCATGACCAAGCTTCCAACAAGCTCAATAGCTCATGCCTAGCTCACCATGACCAAGCTTCCAACCAGAAACAAAAGCTCATCCTGAGGTCAGCATGACCAGCAACTTCAAGGGATTACAACTTGGGCTTCTCTTAAT